GCCACATCACCATCCGCGCACCTTTGCAGGGTGACACCGCTGTGGAGATTCCAGCTGCCCCAGAAGTTGCGGAGCCGGAGCAGAAGGCGTGTCAGGATATAAACCATATATTTTATCGTTTACCTTACAGTTTTAAATATATATAAATAGATATATACATAAGTGGCTGTTCTTTGATGTGATGTGTGTAAAAAAGGAATAAAATAAAAAGAAAAGCTGACGTCTATGGGAGGCCACTTGTTTCCGAGGTTTAGCATATGTGCTTATCCCTGTCCAGTTTGTGAAGCCAAGTTGTTTGAAAACACAGTTGGGTCCCTTGTGAGTTCAAACCAACAACAGTTAGAATGCCACATCACCATCCGCGCACCTTTGCAGGGTGACACCGCTGTGGAGATTCCAGCTGCCCCAGAAGTTGCGGAGCCGGAGCAGAAGGCGTGTCAGGATATAAACCATATATTTTATCGTTTACCTTACAGTTTTAAATATATATAAATAGATATATACATAAGTGGCTGTTCTTTGATGTGATGTGTGTAAAAAAGAAAAAAGATGAAAAAATAGAGAAATCTCATGAAACTGGCTGGCTGGCTCGAGGACTTCGACCCGACAGCGTCTGGCTCGAGGACTTCGACCCGACAGCGTCTGGCCCGAGGACTTGGACCCGTACCCGGCTGGGTCCAAGTCCTCGAGCTCCTTTTTTCGCTAACGCGCGCGCGCGTTTAACGCGCGCGCGCGTTACCGGAAAAACGAGCTCGAGGACTTGGACCCGTCAACCCGGGGTACTATACCGGGGCACTACAACGAGGAAATGCAACGGGGAAACAAAACGGGGAAACAAAAAAAAAATGAAAAAACGAAAAAAATAGAAAAATCAAATCTATAAATTTTAAATCTATTTAATAGCTTTAAATCAATGTGTATATTTATTATTTAATCAAATGAAAATGTGAAAATCATTTTTTTTCGAAATATTTTTTTTGATTTTTTTCATTTAGTTTCAATACAAATCATATTTTAAAGCGTTACAATACACATTTGTAGTAAAACTAAATGAAAAAATGCAAAAAAAATCGAAACAAATATGATTTTTTTAAAAAAAATTCGATTTATGTACATACATTGTTTTAAAGCTATTAAATAGATTTAAAATTTATAGATTTGATTTTTCTATTTTTTTCGTTTTTTCATTTTTTTTTTTGTTTCCCCGTTTTGTTTCCCCGTTGTATTTCCTCGTTGTAGTGCCCCGGTATAGTACCCCGGGTTGACGGGTCCAAGTCCTCGAGCTCGTTTTTCCGGTAACGCGCGCGCGCGCGCGTTAGCGAAAAAAGGAGCTCGAGGACTTGGACCCAGCCGGGTACGGGTCCAAGTCCTCGGGCCAGACGCTGTCGGGTCGAAGTCCTCGAGCCAGACGCTGTCGGGTCGAAGTCCTCGAGCCAGCCGGTCCTATTATTTTTCATTATTTTTCTCTTTTGTTTTCATTGTTTTTCATGATATTTCTCTATTTTTTCATAGTTTTTTTCATTATTTTTCTTAATTTTAAAAAATAACACATCATCAGGGAACAATAGTTCTGTATAACCCTTCCAAATATTTAGATCACATGTATTTTGAGCTCAAATGAGTTCATTTTAAGTGTGTTTCGAGTCATTTTGAGACCATTTTGGGGCATTTTTTTCGAGCACCAACAAGCACTAATAAGCACTATTAAGGCCTAATAGTGCTTATTGTCTTTCGGTCTGTTAACGTTTGGGGGTAACCGTCTGGGGGGCCCCCCTAGTGCTTTCTTGATTGTTTCCAAGGTTCATCATATGTGCTTATTCCTGTCCAATTTGCGAAGCCGAGTTGTTTGAACACACAATTGGGTCCCTTCTGAGTTCAAACCAACAACAGTTAGAATGCCACATCACCATCCGCGCACCTTTGCAGGGTGACACCGCTGTGGAGATTCCAGCTGCCCCAGAAGTTGCGGAGCCGGAGCAGAAGGCGTGTCAGGATATAAACCATATATTTTATCGTTTACCTTACAGTTTTAAATATATATAAATAGATATATACATAAGTGGCTGTTCTTTGATGTGATGTGTGTAAAAAAGGAATAAAATAAAAAGAAAAGCTGACATCTATGGGAGGCCACTTGTTTCCGAGGTTCAGCATATGTGCTTATTCCTGTCCAGTTTGTGAAGCCAAGTTGTTTGAAAACACAGTTGGGTCCCTTTTGAGTTCAACCTAACAACAGTTAGAATGCCACATCACCATCCGCGCACCTTTGCAGGGTGACACCGCTGTGGAGATTCCAGCTGCTCCGGAAGTTGCGGAGCCGGAGCAGAAGGCGTGTCAGGATGCGAACCGCGTAGCAGTTACCTTACAGTCTTAAAATATAGGGGTATAAAAGCAAAAGCTGACGTCTATGGGAGGCCACTTGTTTCCGAGGTTCAGCATATGTGCTTATTCCTGTCCAGTTTGTGAAGCCAAGTTGTTGAAAACACAGTTGGGTCCCTTTTGAGTTCAACCTAACAACAGTTAGAATGCCACATCACCATCCGCGCACCTTTGCAGGGTGACACCGCTGTGGAGATTCCAGCTGCTCCGGAAGTTGCGGAGCCGGAGCAGAAGGCGTGTCAGGATGCGAACCGCGTAGCAGTTACCTTACAGTCTTAAAATATAGGGGTATAAAAGCAAAAGCTGACGTCTATGGGAGGCCACTTGTTTCCGAGGTTCAGCATATGTGCTTATTCCTGTCCAGTTTGTGAAGCCAAGTTGTTTGAAAACACAGTTGGGTCCCTTGTGAGTTCAAACTAACAACAGTTAGAATGCCACATCACCATCCGCGCACCTTTGCTGGGTGACACCGCTGTGGAGAATCCACCTCCCCCAGAAGTCCCGGAGCAGAAGGCGTGTCTGGATGTGAACTATATATATATATATTAATAACATTTTTGAGATCAATGATAATATGCATGCATATATAAACATATATATATATATTTAAGTGACAACATAGGACAGAGTGTAAACATATAACATATCTAGCTTTGGATTTTCTTATGTATATGCATACATCGACTGGGAAACAAGAACAATAGACAGATAGAATGCCACAAGCAATGGGAAAATTGCAATCTGATTTTTATATATGCATGGAAATAAAAGTTGTACCATTAAGATTGGCAGGTTGACGTGGTCCAGAAGCTACTGCGAGAACATGTCAGGGCCAACAACGGCAAATTTTGTGGACTTCTTGTCCGGCACCAGTTTGCATCACTATTCCTTCGTGAAGAGCAGGAGAGAAAAGTCTATGAGATTAGAAGCCACCCCCTGCACTTTTTGAAAGAAGGGGAAAAAATCGCGCTCATCAGCACTGGTGGACATGTTCGCCAAGTGGTTGGCATTTTGGAATTCTTGGGGAATGTCAAGATCAAGAACTCTTCGTTCGACAAGTACTACAACCTGCATCGCATCAGCCTTGAAGATTTTCAGGCAGTGTCGGCCAACTGGGCAAACCAAGAGTTCTGCTTCGCTTGGCATTTTGAGCTCACCATGGCTTTTGAATCACCAGTGTCAATCCCTATGGTCAAGGGGCCTGAAGTGTGGCATTACTTCAGCTTGGGTTTGCGTGAGCCCCTCCACGAGGACCGCCGGTTAATTTTCATTTTTTTAAAGTACCTTGGCATTCTGTCTCCCCTTGAAATCAATGGCAGCATCTCTTTTTCGAAGGATGAGTCTGGAGAAACTACTTCGCCATTGGATAGCCCCTGCGACTTTCGGACACCACCCATGAAGCGCAAGCTGTCTTTTGAGTCTGCACTTAGCACTGCTCAGTCAGCCGTCAGGAAGGTACGCTTGCCAGATGAGTGCACAACGGAGAGAAGCGGAAGCAGCAGTTCCCAATCCCTGGGACTTGTCCCGCCAACGTCCATGATACCTTTGGATGTGTTTGAAGATGGTTCTGCCACGGGTCTTTACCTTCAAGAATACGAGTGGAATGGTTTGCTTAAAGGGGGCAAGACTATGTTGAGATCTTTCAAAACACGCGAAGAGAAGACCTTGGTGGTGCTGCGAAAGTCAGCTGCGCACTATGTTGTCGGTGCTCTGGAGATTGAGGAAGTGGTGTACCTATCGAATGGGATTTCGCATGAGCTTGTCAATCGAGTCCGAGACATGTATCCCTCTTCCCACCTCAACGCACTGCGAGCTGCAAAGTCGGCTTACGAATGGCGCATCAAGTCTGTTTCCAGGTTTGAACCTGCAGGAGTTTTGACACACCATGGTACGAAGTTCAAGAACAGGACTTTTAACATTACCCCATCTATGGTTCAACTTGATGGAGGACAGCAGGGACCTGAGCGCCAGTGCTTGAAGGAGACTGCCAAATTCTTCTTTAACTTGATGGACGGCGACCGTCAGCGATCTCTTTGCTTCCTTTTCAAAGCCATCGATCAGCGTACAATTCGCGTTGGAAGTACTTGTTCAGGATCTGACATTTGCATCACGGTTCTCCAAAAGACCGTTGACTTCATGAATGCCGTGCAGGTGGCATCCAGGGAATAACCTGCCTCCCTTGCAGCCAATATATGACTTACCTTTGCCCACGCGTATTTTTTTAGTTATTATATATATATACAGCGGCATGTGCGTAATACGAGTGAGTATGTACACGTGTCCAGGTCAGCAGCTGAGATTTGACATCAAACCCTTTTCAACTCAGAAGCAGAATGTACACTGTATTGCATGTGTTTTTCAAGATAACCCCCCTGCAGGGAACCAGTGTGAGAGTCGCTCACGTATTCTCATGTGAACTGAATCCAGAGAAGCGCAAGTTGATCCGCCAGCAGCACCCTTCTCTTCAGCATCTGTTTGCAGATGTGTGTGTATTCGCTGACGGACATGGATTCTGTGAGATATGTCAATGCGACCATGCAGTCACAAGACATACTTTAGCCATCGACCTTTTGTACACGGGCACTTCGTGCAAAGATGTGTCCAGGCTCAACGGGAACCGAATGGCCTACCTTGGATGCTATGCGGCAAAGGATTCTGGGGGCACCAGCGGTCCTACATATGAGAATGGTTTCCGCAAGGTGCCACGGTTGCATTCTAACTGTCTTCTATTTGCCGATACTTTTACCCGTATAATATATATATACATACTGGGCAAACAAATATATATATATATATAGAAATACGTTTTTTTTCTGAAGCACCTGCCTTCCGGAGGAAACGTATGTATACCGAGGGTATATGTTTTCTCGTACTGCATACGCTATATCAAATGCCATGGTGGCATTCTAACTGTGCACTGAGCTGTTCCCCAACATGTCAGTATCAAAGTATGTATGTATGTAAGTACATATGTATGCTTGTTGGTTCATTTGTTTGTTTTCCTGTGCGTAATCAGTAAGCGCAAGGTGATGGAAACTCTGCAGCCAGCTGTTGCACACTTTGAGAACGTCAAAGCAATAGCAGAAGCCACAAAGGATCCCAACACAGGCAAACCCACGGTTCCTCAAATCCAGGCTGGGCTTTTGACCAATGTTTTTAGAAAATTTGAAAGCCTATATGGCACATGTCAAAATCAGTATGACAACATGGGGCAAGATTTGCCTTTTCCGAAAAAGACACGGCGAGGGTCCAATTGTCATGCCTGGGAGGTCGTGAAGAAGGACATGGAGGCTTTAGGCTATACCTTCGCACCCTGAGCTATGCTTTGATTTTTTTCTTCCAAAGCTACCTCGGAAGTCGAATCTGGAACACGCCTTTAAAAGAAAATGCTGTCGCATTTCTTTCTATTCGTATGCTTGGATTGATTAGTTTGACACCTGCCAAGGCTCACACAATCTTGGACTCGCAAGAATTCTTATTGCCTCAACGACGCAATCGTGTTTGGGGCCTGGCCTTGCTGAACACCGGAGAATACGACCAGACCTTTGGGCAGAAGTACAAAGATTGCCTGGCGTCCCTCCGTTCCACATTTCAGTTCCCATTGGCCGTGAATTTTGATGAGGACTCACCGATGCAACACCCGAAGGCAGGAAGACACGAGACACTGGTCAAGGATGCTAAGCAATCGGAAACCGGTGACGATATTTATGTCGATTGCAGCTCAAGTTTGGAAAGATGCGCAAAGGCGGCAAGAGTGCTCCCTTGCGTCACACCAAGTCATCCAGTTTACTCAACCAAGCTGCAGCGCTACATGAACAACCGAGACTTCATGCAAGCTCAGGGATGGTGGGAAACTTGCTTCTGTGATGATGTCTATGCCCAGATGCTTCAAAAACTTGGACAAGACTTAGCAGGCAATGGGTTTTCAAGTACGGTGTGTCAGGCAGCAACCCTTGCTGGCATGGTAGTCGGAGTGCCAAGCTGGATGACCGTGGGGGCCCAGGTTCAGTCACCTCAGCAGGCTGCCAACGCCGTGGCGGAGTCTGATGAGCCCGCCACGCAGCGTGGAGTGAAACGTAGGCTTCGACAGAAACAGGCAGCACCTGCATATGATCCCTGGACGCCCGAGGACAACAAGAAGGTGAAGAAGAAACGCATTTGGCAGCGCAAGGTGTCAGGGATTGATTCACGAAAGAGAAGCAGTGGCAAAAAGGATGTAGCGACTCTCTGGCAAAAGGAGAGAGTGAACCTAGGCTTCATTTTAATCTCCGCCGCATTCTAACTGTTGGTTGATTCCAAGCTCTTTCACTCAGCAGGAACCCATTCTATGTGCAGTAAGGCCACATAGTGGATGTACCGGGGTGGTGTTGTTTTTCCCATCTTTTAGGTTCGACTTGGAGATTTGTTCCCAAAGCATGCAATGAGGATGCAGGCGTATGACCAAGCGAAAGCCGATCCCAGCATCGAAAAACCGTGCCAACATGTTGAAAATCTTCGTTTGCCCGGCTACTTCCGATGCTGCTTCTACAAGTGGAAAAAGGCAAGGGCCCAACAGAAGTGGCCAGTGCTCTGTGCCGTTTGCCCGAAAGTGGCAAAAAAGTACAAAGAACTGCCAAACACTCTCCGCAAGCTGCTGGGTCACCAGCTCAAATTCAACCGGCGTGGTCAGGGAGCTTGCCAAAACGTCACAACCTTCCTGCCGAAGGCCTTTGAGGACGCAGTGGTGGAAAGTATTGTATCTCGATGCAGCTAGTTAAAGGGATGAATGGGAACAATGGGTCCAAAGACTGGGCATTCTTACTGCCTACTGTTTATGTGTACAACAGGTGTCCATACCATTTTTTCTATTGACGTAACAAAAGCCATGGGACATTCGAGGCAGAGCGCATAGAGATGTGCGAAGAAGTTACCTATCGGTACGTTGCGTCTGTCTTGGACGAGGGGATTCAGCAATGGAACCATGCTGTAGCACGATTCAATGAGTTTGCATCCAGTCCGGAGCAAATGCTTGCCCACTTGGACTCCCAAGAAGGATTGGACATTGAAGACGAGAAGGCAGTGGTGGAAAGTTTGAACAAGCTTCATACCAAGGCAGCTGGGTGTCTCTTCCATATTAGCTTGAAGCGCTCCAGCACATCGTTCATGAACCTCGCTCTGACATACTGGGTAAAGAGTTCTTTTTGGCAGATTTGCTGAACTTCTCTTCTCCATTTCTGCACGACAAACAAGAATGTACATATTGCGGGTGTATATATTTATATAGATATATATTCAGATATGTCCATCTATTTGCCCGGCTGCCGTGGAGGTTCTCTAATTCCGTAAGCCTTGACAAGACATCCTGTGTGTTTCCCTTCCCTTCCTTCATTGATTGGGATCGCTCGTTTTTTTTGGGGGGCCCTTCTTTGTGACATTCTATCTGTCTGTTTGTCTGAGCCTATATATTCTTTTACCGGTACACACATATCAGGTACATAGAGCAGCCCATGTACAATTTCAAAGTCAATTTGCACTCAAAGCCAATCCTCACACGCAAAAAAAAAAACAAGAGACGTAGACAGGGAGAGAGACAGAGCCGCCAGCCGTCAGGAAGCAAGCCCAGCGTGTGTGCACCCGAGCAGGGCTCGTTCCCAGGCAAAACACAAAACCTGGACGGCACCTACAGTTTGACCATCCAGCGCTAGTCAAAGTACGGCAATGGGTGCAGTTACAGACGCGCACGGGATCTGTAGACCCCCGCATGGTCTGCAACTTCGACCAGGTCTGGAGTGTTCTGTACAAGCCTCGACGAACAACATTGCAGAAGAAGGTGCCGACGCCACATTGCAGTGACTCCATTTCCAAGTCCTTGACCTGGAGAAAAATCAGACACGTATTTGAACGCATCACTGGCATGCAGTACACAGAGAATTTCTCTGACCGACCCCTCCAAGATGAAGTCTCCCAACATGCTCACCACCTCACCGGTGGGTTTGCCGGCACCTTTGCCGTAGACTCATGGCGTACTCCGCATACGCTATGCACCCTCAGTTGGATAGACGGAACTATGGGCAGGGGATTTGTCACTTGCAGAGCAGATACGATCACTGAGTCTCAGCGTGCTGAAGCAAACGAGGCAGGGAGGAAGACCAATCGATATATATATATATGTATATGTATTTACATAATATATATATATACCTGTCGCCTGTCTTCATTGGACACAAGAAGTGGGCTCCTAGAAACAAACCGCTCAACAGTTAGAATGCTTGCTGGAAGCAGTAGGTGGATGTTCCAGCGCAGGAGCTACAGGAGTGGCTGCACATTGGCCCGCTTCAAGAGCGCAGCCATATGTGGACAGGGGCTACGATGTTATCGTACCTACGGTTCTTGGGGGAGGAGATACGAGCGCGTAGGAAGATTTTGAAGCTTCCGCAGTCTGCAAAGTGCTTGGTCCTTTGCGACCAGGCTACCCAACATTCGGCGAAAGCATTCGACCAATTGAGATCAACTTGGGAGTCGCAGTTTAACGCTGCCACTCGGTTGGCTGGACTGGATCTTGTATATATATATATATATGCAGCTGTTGTTTTCGCAATTTGTTTTGAATGTATACAAATCTGAAACAACCTCTGGACAACTGGACAACGCATGCATAATATATATATATATAGATATAGATATAGATAGATATTATTTGAAATTGATAATATTATATATATATGTCTGTGGTTTGAGATTAACCCTTGTGTATGCACATACATCAAATACATATGCAAAAAAGGGGGCTTGGGTTTGTGACTCTCACGTGGTCTTAGGAGATCATTTGCGGGAGCTCCGAGTCGTGTACAATCCCTGGTGGCTGGGGGGCCTGCGGGTCCCCCAACGACGGCTTCCATCAGTTTGTGCATCATCTAGTGCACGCATTCCTGCAGGTCAAGGTGAAGTTCGGCCCGTCCATTGATCTACGACGACAGCTAGACGAGCTTCAGCTGTCAGTCCAAGGTTACCAGTCCATCAAGACGCTTGGTTTCTTTTGAACAGGAATTATGGGAAGAAGAGGGTGTACTTGTAATCAAATATTGATACCGGTTTTCACATTCAGACATATGTATATACATTTTTACATACATATATACATATATATACACATATGTATATACATATTTTTACAATGCTTTTCCAGCTGTGAAAATGTCCATCTTTCTCTTTGAACCTAAGGATGCCAATTTTGGAAGCTTTGCGAGCAGATTTCTATGCCTTGAAGAGCTTGAATGAGTTTCAGTTTCTTGGATTTGAATTGTTCGTCCGTGGTTGTGTATGCACATACTCCACCAAGATACTCATATGGCTTGTAGCCATCTTCGAAGGAACATTGGCACATTCTAACTGTCTATCATCCATGCTTCCTTCTAAGGAAGGGCAAGCTGGTTTGGATGTCATGGTTGGGACGTGGCTATGTGAGCAAAGAAGATATTTGTCGTTGGCGCTTTGACGGTCGCTTGCAGCAAATTGCACGATTGACTTTTACAATCATCTTTTGCAGAGGGTCATTGAATATAGCTTTGACTTCACAGCCATGTATACAGGTCTATCCTTTTGCTGTCTAGTTTTTTTTTGTGTTTTTTTTGGTAGAATTAGATTGTGTAATCCTTTCCCCCTATATGATACTAAACGTCCACCCCCCATTTAATAAACACCTCAGATAGTTTTGAGTATTAGTACGTATTTATTTTTAGGGAACTCTATTAAGTAAATTAAACCCCTAATAATAAAAACTATTTTTCCAATTTCAAAATCAGTTAAATTTCTTTATATAACGCAATCAAAATATTGCCAAAAATTGGATTTCGAAGCTTCCCCCTAATACTATATAAATTAAAACCCTTAATAATAAAAACTATTATTTCCGATTTCAAAATCAGCTAAATTTCTTTATCCAACGCAATTACAATATTACCTAAACTTGGATTTCGAAGCTTCCCCCTAATACTAAAATAAAACCCTCAATAAGAAAAAAAATCCGATTTAAAAATCAATTAAATTTCTTTATATAACGCAATTAGAATATTGCCAAAAATTGGATTTCGAAGCTTCCCCCTAATATTAAATTAAAACCTCTAATAGTAAAAACTTTTTTTTCCGATTTCAAAATCAGATAAAAATTCTTTATATAACGCAATTAAAATATTGCCAAAAAATGGATTTCGAAGCTTCCCCCTAATACTAAATTAAAACCTTTAATAATATAAAGGCTATTTTTTCGGATTTCAAAATCAATTACATTTCTTTATATAACGCAATCAAAATATTGCCAAAAATTGGATTTCGAAGCTTCCCACCTAATAATAAACACACCGGGGTTGACTAGTTTTTATTACTAGGTGGCAAAACCCACAAATGATAGGTTGATTTTTAAATTGTTTTCTAAAGGGGATCAATTAAAAGTCAAATTGGCCAAACTGAAATTTTCCGAAACTGGAGATGGACCCTAGTTTTTAGTATTTGGTGGACGTTTAGTAAAAGGGGGAAGGGATTATAGATGTGAAAGTCATTCAATTCAATCCATTTGCTTTCCAGGCTCTCTTGGTGTGGAGGGTTATGGATGTGGCTTCTGAAAGCCAGGCAAGTCAGTTCTTTTGTTGATGAGGCATTCTAACTGTCTTTTCACAACCTTGACTAAGGAGATGAGCATCTCTTCCGTCAAAGTCTTCAACGGTGTCGTGACAGCATGGCTGCCATCATCAACTTGACAGAAGTTCCCATGCTGAGCTCACCCATGAACAAGATTGAAGAGATGCAGCACCTGCAAAAGGTTCCCATGCCAGGTGAAAGACAGGTCATTTGGGCCGTCCAGTCGAAAGATGATGCGACAACTCGTCAGGCACTGCCCTTCTGGGTGTCAGAGCCAATTGCACGAAGAGTGGCAATTTGGGCAGATCAGAACAGGGTATGGGAAGACAAAATTGATTCTCGGATGTTGCGTGGGCTGCATTTGACAAGGGTCCAGCAGGAAAACTATGACAGGTGGAAGCAAGATCACCAAGTGCAAACTTTGGTCTTTTCCAAGAGAACTGGCAGCCAGGTCATCAGACTCAAGGCCGACACTGACATTCGCACCGTAGAGGGTGATTTGTTCTCAATCAAAGTCAGCATGTCAGCAGATCCAGATGAGCTTACAGTGCAAGCAGGCAATGGGGAAATACAACGGCTTGTTGTGCTACGAGGCGAGGCTTCCCAGGAGGCCAAGATTCCTGGGTGCCTGGACCATGGCCTTGCACCTGGAGCACTTGCAGAGGATTTCAATGATGACGAGAAGCAGGATGAGGTGGACGGTCAGGAGCCTGATCCCGACCAACAAGAACAAGAAGCACTAGAGATCGCCGACAAGCTCGAAGAGAGCGATTGTGGAGAAGAGATCATGTACTACACAGACGAAGAGGCCGCGCTAGAACCGGCAGGAAAGCACACTCGAGTGAAATCCTTCAACCATCGGGAAAGCTACTTAGCTCTGGAGAAGCAAGGTGTGACACTGCTTCCGGGTGGGTCAATCCACTTAGGTTACCATCAAACAAGCCGAACGTGGCAGGGTTACTATGCTGGAAGATCTGTGGGATTGACATTCACCCACGACGGCTCCACCAACAGAACAGAGAAAGAGGCATTACTCCTGGTGATACATGGCCTTCTCAAGAAGTATTGTGAAGAACATCCGAGGGATCGAATATGGCTACTACAGCTCGAAAAGGTTGAGAAGCTGAGAGGAAGAGCCATTGTGTGACTTGTTCAGCATGTAGCATGCAATTAAAGGGTTGCAGCATTCTAAGTGCTGAGGTTCTGAAGTCTGGAACATACTCTACCAAAAAAACGGAGGCATATGAAATTTTGGTCCCAACTAAAGATTTGTGCATAATTGTGCATATGTATATATGTATGTATATGTAGGTATTTCTTTCTTGTATGACAGAGATGGAGGGAGAGAGAAAGAAACAATTCTGCGTCTAGGCATTCTAACTGTATACAAGCCTAAACTGTTTTCTTGTTTTCTACAGAATGTATGCCAATCGTACTTCCAATCTTGGCTTGCTGGGCGAGTGCTGTGGTACATCCCGGACGTACCACCAAAGGTTGCAGCATTCTAAGTGCTGAGGTTCTGAAGTCTGGGGAACATACTCTACCAAAAAAACGCAGGCATATGAATTTTTGGTCCCACCTAAAGATTTGTGCATAATTGTGCACATGTATATATATATATATATACACGTATATATATATATATATATATTTGTTTCTTATATGAGAGAGATGGAGGGAGAAAGAAAGAAACAATTCTGTGTGTAGGCATTCTAATTGTGTACAATCCAAAACTGTTTTCTTGTTTCCTACAGAATGTATGCCAATCAATCGGAATTCCAATCTTGGCTTGCTGCGAGAGTGCTGTGGTACATCACAAACGTACCGCCCGTACCATAGGACAGACCTCCCATTTAGCAGTGTTTCAGGTCTTTGTCTCTTTCAACACCCACAGGGGTGAAGTGGACGGTGCTTTTCGGTCGGCCGGTGTCGGCACTTGTATACATGTATAGATCGATGTTAGATGGATATATATATAGATATCACATGTGGTACGTACTGCACACACACACACACCCACACACTGAGACAAAGCACAGTTTCCACTCCACCGGTGCGTAGATGCTAGGACAGCCAGGGGTTCAAGATCCTTTTGCACGATCTGTCATATTCAAACAAGAACATTTCACTCCATCAACAGGTAGATTCTATGACAGCCAGGGGTTAAAGATCGTCTTTCAGGATCTGTCATCAGATTCAAACGAGGCCAGCATTCCCAACAAGAGAAGAAAATGTGAAAGAGTGTGACAGCATGGGCGGGAGTCGGTGAGAGGATGCCGCCCAAGCCACGTGTTCCCCCCAAAACATGCTAGTTTATTTGAAATATATGATATTACCTATATATATATATACATACATACATGTGGATAGATTTCTCGGGCATTATTATACGAACCCATGCATTCCCTTGAAAATAAAGTAGTTTTTTTTGGAGACATAGTTGGTGTTGCAGACAGTTAGAATGTGGGAGGCCCTGTGTTCCTTCAAAACAGTGGTGATTTTTGGGAAACACACGTGGTTTTGTAGACGATTAGAATGTGGGAGGTATAGGGCAGGGGTACCCCACACCCCAATCGTACCCTCATTTTTTGGGGAAACATCTCTGGTGGATATATAGATCTTGGCGACAACACGAAACCAACATCGAATATATATAGGTTTACAAGCAGTTAGAATGTGGGAGGTAGGAATGCCTAAAACCCATGAGTTTCTTCAAAACATTGATTGTTGGGAAATATATATATATATATATTTGGTTGCGCAGACAATTGTACCCCACAACTCATGTGTTCCCTCAAGGTTCCCTGGTGTTTTCCTGGAAACATACATACTTGGTATGTATATAGAAAGTTTTTTTGAAAACATGATGCAAACCCACACATCCATGCTAGAATATGCTAGTGCCGGACCATGTACCTTGCACCCAATGAGGCTCCCTGAGGCCACGTTTTTTTTAGCTACGTATCTACATATTTATTTTTTTTTTATATATGTACAGTATATATATATATCACACCGACGGACTGAAACTTCGAATGCTACGCTCCTTTCCTGAGAGTAGTTTACAGACAGTTAGAATGCTCCATGATGCCCCATCCGTCATTTCAGTATATCTTTATCTATCTCAATCTAAACATTTTGGGTCAGCATTCTAACTGTCTGGTCGCCGCCCGGGGCTGCGCCACATTCTAAGTGTACGAAAAAGGGAAATTTGGAAACCTGGCGCGCATTCTAAGTTTCAGTCCGTCAATATACTTATAACTGGTAAAGGGCCATAACTGTGGATTCAGCTCCCACATGGCAATTTGAATGGGGAACATGGAACATGGGGAGCATTCTGAGAATCCAATGGATTTAGGGCCTAGGAAAAAATATGAGAAAGCCATGGTTGTTTCAACAAAGCCATCACCAGGAATAGCGGGAGTTTCAACATTTGTTGAAGAATAAATGGAGATGTCTCCAAGAAGATTTGTGCTAAATTTTAGATCAATTTGAAGGATTGGGCTAAATAAAGTTGTGATGTTGGTGAACAGTTCACTAGGTTAGCTGAATAGCTATAGACTATATCAACTTTATTGATGATATCATCATATAGTCATTTCGTCACCAAAATGTATATCAATAGCTGAATGGTTTCTGGTGATGAAATGACTATTGATGACTATAGACTAGAGTCTACTATGGTTGATTGGGGCAATCATCCAACCAAAATAACTGAGGGGGCACCACCTTGCAGGGGCTTTGCCAAACAAAGGGAAGTTATTTTATTCAGAGTTAGATCTGGTTAGTTTAATTATCAAGCTACGTTAGTTTCTCCAATTGATGATTGTTTCTTAAGCATAGAGATTTCATAGTTTACAGCCAGCCACACATAGCCACACCCATCAAACAATATGTTGTTCATCCCCAGGGCCCTCTTCACACGTCAAGCATATGATATACATTAACACTTGCAACATTTTCAGAGTTGCATCTAGGGAAAGCACAATGAGAATTGTCATCAGTAAAATCTAACCATTGCCCTGTGAAATGCGGAATATCACCACAAGAATTCGGAAGACCCACCAACAAACATCGTTCATCTTAGACAATCGGCAAAACCATGCAATTTTCCTACACAAGGTGGTGCCCCCTCAGTCAAAGTTGGATTATAACCCGGATGAATATAGTTATACAATGCTATACAATTATGGCCATGGCTGTTGGTGATAACTGGTTATTTCAATAGGATTATACATAGACCATAAAAGTGGTTTTGTTTGTACTTAAAACTGGTAAAGAGCCATAACTGTAGTCATCAAAAACCCAACCGTCAGCCTATAGACCAACCTAGCTAACTATGAGGCGCGACCTTGCCACTCGAAATGTATCCACTGACCTACCGAATCAACATCCCGCACGGCGATTCGCATTTTTGTTTGATTAAGTCAGCCCGTTTTTCCAAGATATGGTCAGTTGCCTGCCTACTCTACTTCTGGCAAGAAGTGCGCTCCACTGACTTACGAAAGCGTGAAGCCAGTACATATCTGTACTTAGATGGGCAGGGCAGAGTGCCTATGGTACGCTTCACAATTAAGTATATCATCATCATCATCATCACCATCATCATCATCACCATCATCATCATCATCGTCATCATCGCCATTATAATAATCATATATATGACATATATATCTATATCATACATACTATATATCCCATATTATATCATCATTGAATTCACCATAAAAAACAAGACTTTGTAAACTTAGTCAAACGTTCAACGTTCACTTTCACGTTCACAGCCACGGGACCCGGTGACCCGGCAGAACAAACGGCACCAGGGAGGTAATGGGCTCTTTCGGAACTGAGTTGCCGAAAGTGTCTGGACTCTTTATATATCAAACACCATATCTTGATATAGTATAGGTGATATATGATATAAACTATCTTGACAACTATCACGTGTATAGTTATAGTTATATATAGTGTATATATATATACACTTGTATAGTACAGTACTAAAAAAAAATAGCTATACCTATTTATGTTCATCAATATTAAATATAGTATAGTATAGTAGAGTAGTACTATATATGTATATAAATTGATATCGTATTATGATATAATACTATACTATACTATACTATACTATCATAGCCATACTAGCTGGTATTACTATATATTTAATACTATAGTATTATATGATAGTACACCATATGTATACGATACTAGTAATCGCCTGGTATTGATTAATAATGATATAGTATAGTATTAGTGACATCAATACCAGGTATTACGGTATTACTATTAATATTCTAGTAAGACACTATCATTCCAGAAATTGGGCATATTTTATTTTTAATATTGATATACTGATGTTCATAGTAATACCTAGTGATCCTCATCAATATACCTAGTACATCAATATCTGGTTGGTGGTATACCTACCCCTCTGAAAAATATGAGTTCGTCAGTTGGGATGATGACATTCCCAACTGAATGGAAACATAAAATTCATGTTCCAAACCACCAACCAGCTATTATTAGATTCCCATCAATACCATTAACCACTGTTAATATCTGTTAATCACTATAGAAAATCACCATTTTGAATGGGACAACTCACCAAACCAACCAGCCATTACCCCAATGATCTCCAGTGTAATCCCCAAAAGCCACCCCGTGGACCAAGACGGCATCCCCATGAAAGCCCCACAGGTGCCCGGGCGGACCAATGGTCGCTCTCCTTGTCCTGGCTATGGACCAACTATATTAGGGTAGCCATATATCACCATTGCCAATCAGCCAGATACTCATTAATACCAAAAGACTAGTTAGGATATGTTAGGATTAGTTTGTACCCATGTAAGATTGAGCTAGTATTCCAGAGACTGGCGTTTCTATTCTATTTCTTTTGTGATATGCTTGGAATATGCTTGGAATATTGCTTTAATATGGTGCAATGTGGGGCCCCCCAGTTATAAGATGGTTTATAAACCCCATTAACTATAGTTATAGGTACCATAAACCATATTTATTGGAGTTATAAACCAACTTAGCTATCTAGGGAGCCCCACTTTGTGGTATATTGCGATTACGGACTTCCAATATGATAATATGGTTTTTACGTATATGGTAATACTCTCCGGAGACCGTGCAATCATGCAGCAACCTCAACACTTTGGCCGTTTCGGGATCGTTACTTGTGACGTTGCAGTGGGGTCATTGTAATTTATCCCAGGGTTTTGATTATACCCGTTTGAGGATGATTTCTCCCTAGCTTTAACAACAGTTTCTCCAAATACTCCAATTATATTCCTGCTGGATTTCCATCGATTCCTGCTGCTATCCCTATTTTGGTTGGTTAAGCTCTTAAATTTCTCGGTAAAATCCCGACCATATGACTATTAAGGCATGTAATTTCACTATCAGCCAGTATATGCCCATTATATTTTCATAAATATTCACCACATATTGTTGTTACATTAACCATCATATTCCCTTTATTTCCCCCAGCAAATTCTTTGTTTTTACATGCTTGCGGCAGCAAGTCATATAAGCGGCTGGCACAGCAGTGCTGGACAGCTGACAAAGCCTGTAGCCGATGGGTTTTCCGGCTGAGATATGGAAAGGGTTCTGCAGGCGTCATGGGTGGTCACGGGATAGATTCCCATGTTTACCACGGATATTCAGGACAAAAATGGAGATGGATTACACAGTATTATGAAGAACCGAGCCAGCTACACATTGGAAATCTTTAAAATATTTATTTTTTCATTTTTTATCATTTTGGTTATCATTGCATTCATCATTTTTTTAATCATTTATTTTATCATCTTCATTTTTTTATCATTTGTTTTATCATCTTCATTTTTTTTATCATTTGTTTTATCATTTTTTATCATTTTTTTAATCATTTGTTTTATCATTTTTTTATCATTTGTTTATCATTTTTTTAATCATTTTTCATCATTGTTTCTTCCAGTGGTGCAAAAATTTTCCAAGAAATGGAAAATTACAATTTTCCTCGAGTTTTTATCATTTTTTTATCATTTTTGCTTCCAGTGGTGGAACTGATGAAAAATGATAAAAAAAATGATAAAAACATGAAAAAAATGATAAAAACATGAAAAAAAAATGATAAAACAATGCAAAAAACATGAAAAACAAACTCGAGGAAAATTGCAATTTTCCAAAAAATGAAAAATTACAATTTTCCTCGAGTTTTTTTCATTTTTTTTTTCATTTTTTGTTCATTTTTTTTCATTTTTTTCATTTTTTTTTCATTTTTTTAATCATTTTTCATCATTTTTGCTTCCAGTGGTGCAAAAATTTTCCAAGAAATGGAAAATTACAATTTTCCTCGAGTTTTTTTTTCATTGTTTTATCATTTTTTTATCATTTTTTTAACTTTTTTTTATCATTTTTGCTTCCAGTGGTGGAACTGATGAAAAATGATAAACAATGATGAAAAATGATAAAAAATGATAAAAAAATGAAAAAAAATGATAAAACAATGAAAAAAAAATTAAAAAACTAGGAAAATTGCAATTTTCCAGAAAATGAAAAATTGCAGTGTTCCTCGATTTTTTTCATTTTTTTCATTTTTTTTTCATTTTTTTAATCATTTTTCATCATTTTTGCTTCCAGTGGTGCAAACATTTTCCAAGAAATGGAAAATTACAATTTTCCTCGAGTTTTTTTTTCATTGTTTTATCATTTTTTTATCATTTTTTTAACTTTTTTTTATCATTTTTGCTTCCAGTGGTGGAACTGATGAAAAATGATAAAAAATGATGAAAAATGATAAAAAAATGAAAAAAAAAATGAAAAAAAAATGATGAAACATGATTAAAAAATGATAAAAAAAATGAAAAAAATGATAAAAAAATGAAAAAAATGGAAAAAAAACTCGAGAAAAATTGCAATTTTCAAAAAAATGAAAAATTGCAATTTTCCTCGAGTTGTTTTTCCATTTTTTTTCATTGCTTTATCATTTTTTTTCATTTTTTTATCATTTTTTTCATGTTTTTATCATTTTTTTTATCATTTTTCATCAGTTCCACCACTGGAAGCAAAAATGATAAAAAAATGATAAAAACTCGAGGAAAATTGTAATTTTCCATTTCTTGGAAAATTTTTGCACCACTGGAAGAAACAATGATGAAAAATGATTAAAAAAATGATAAACAAATGATAAAAAATGATAAAACAAATGATTAAAAAAATGATAAAAAATGATAAAACAAATGATAAAAAAAATGAAGATGATAAAACAAATGATAAAAAAATGAAGATGATAAAATAAATGATAAAAAAAATGATGAATGCAATGATAACCAAAATGATAAAAAATGAAAAAATAAATATTTTGACCTGGCCCAGTCTGTGGCTGCAAGTTTTTCATAAGCACAGTACACTTTTGGACTATTTGTGAAGATCACTATTTTCTGGATTCCACAAATACCACATTACCAACCATTCAACAACCAATCACCAACCATTCACCAACCATTCGCCATTGATGTCCCCCAAACATCCCGTGACCCCCAACGCCACGGCGACGGCAACGAATCGCAACGCCGGGCGCCGCAGCGACATACGGCGCTCAGGTGTACTGCATGCGGAGCTCGTCCATTGCCAGCACCAAGTCCTCGTCGTCTTTGCCTCACCGGAAAGTCATGACCGAGTGCTACCCTCTGGTCATGACTGTTACATAGCCTGGTTGGTGGTTTCAACCATCTTGAAAAATATGAAAGTCAATGGGAAGGATTATCCCATATAACTATTATGGAAAATAAAAAATGTTTGAAACCATCTACCAGTAGCTATTGAAAATGACCATAGAATTGGTTGATTCATCCACCAAATTTAAAGCATGTGATTTTCCATAGTTATGTTAGTTTACCAGAGGTATGCGGGATTCTTCCGCACATTCTTCCAAAACAATGGCGAAGTGTGGGATTTGTGTCGGATACATGTTGTGGATACATCTATCGCCAGCGCAATCAGGTATTTTTCTATGTCAAAACATTACCAATCTTAGATAATTCTCTACAACAAAACTTAATTGTTGGTTGGTTAGTAGATATTCCTATACCAAACGATCAATCATGGAACTACCCATCCAAGGTTGACCTAGACGAGCTTGGCTAAGTGTGGGCTTTGTGGATACAATATATCTATAGCCAGCGCAGTTAACGAATTCCTAAAAAACTCATAATTCTTAGGTCTTCAACTTGTCCATAGGGCCCCCCAAAAAATACGGATTGGCAGTCGGTGGGGAACGCAACATGTTTCTAAACCTGCTTCTATAGAAACATGTCATCTTTGTAGTTTTCCATAGAATGGTTTGAGGCTCAGTCGACTGTAACTGACTACACCAAATCGTGAAATGTGGGCCCCCCCAGTGATGTTAGATGGTGTATAAACCCCTTAACTATAGTTATAAGTATCATAAACCCCCCCAAGATAGCTAAGTTGGTTTATAACTCCAATAACTATGGTTTATGATACTTATAACTATACTTAATGGGGTTTATAAACCAACTTAGCAATCTAAGAAACGTGCTGGAGAAACTGTCCAACATACCTGCTGCAAGCCCTGTCTCGCAGTCTCCAGGCCCTGTGAAAAGGATGATTTCTACTGAGATCGACCAGTGAATTGGTACCCTACAGTTATGGCCCTTTACCAGTTATAAGTACTAAGAAAACCACATTTATGACATGTTTTTTATCCCACTGAAATCAACAGTTATAACTAATAAATGGCCACAACTGTAGAAAAAATATGGGGCTTTTTTGAAGAATAGGCCTACCAAAAATCATCCAGTCATGGATGACCATGAATTCGAAAAATCCATCGCTTTCTTGGGGTATCATCTGCTGGGACGGAAAAAGTGCACTGGCGAAGTGCCCACGTCTACGAAATATAGCTGTTTGATACGGTGAACATCACTCACATTTTATTAGGTCTTTTGATGCATATTTATTTTATATGTATGATTATATATACATATATATTATTAGCTAATTATTTTAAGTTGACACTATAGTATTTCACCTAATATATAGCGAACCCCGCTATCCAATATGTTTCACCAATGTTGCACTAGAAAAATATATATTAGTTAATATTAGCTAGTTAGTGAAATATATTCTTAATATATTTTCATTATTTCTTGTTTCACCAATATTTCACTTTTTCTTAATATTAGTCCCTGGGTGGTTCGAAAAAACAATGGGGTCCACCATAGAGTCGATCTTTCACACAGCCTTCGGAACTTCGCCCTGCCAGTGACCACCAGCATTTGATCATCTCTTCCATATCCCATAGGATCCATGGTGCTGCTATACATGGTAACGTGGATCCCATCAATATACCCCCAATGTTAGCATATATACCAGCACCATGGATCCTATGGGTATAGTTATGGCTATGGCTATTAGTTATAACTGGTGAAATTTATATGGGTTTTTGTTATAACTGACTGGTTATTAGTTATACATGAACCATGAATGGGGTGACTTGTTAGTACTCATAACAAGTTTAACTGGGACCATAACTGTAGGTGTTTCATGAACCGAAACAAAAAACAACTGGTTAGTGACTGGGAAGCTCTATGCCCATTGGAGGCACGTACCATTTATTTCAAGCCTATTTTTCAGGGCTAAATTTCAGGGAATATCCCCACAACATATGGCCTTATATTGGTACAGTACCTCCATTTTAGGATCCTGAAATCATATCAA